TTTCCGTACATCACGCACACGCCTTAGCGCGTCGAATTTTTCGTAAGTTTGCGAGATAGGACTCGATTCGAAGATGATACACATATCGAAAGTTCCGCCTGTGATTTATTCGCGACTATCATCGTCTTCGCATTGAATCCTTTTCGTGACAAAGAGCGATTATGCCATTCAATATAGCTTCTATTTACAAAACAGTGCGCACCGGTTCGTACGTCACATCTGCATTACGATCCCGAATGAAGATACTAACGACAATGTGTTGACAACAATCGCACCCTCTCCGTTAACAAAAAAAAAAAAGAAGAGAGAGAGACGCCATCCTTCACGGTGCACGAGCACCATTCATGAGAACCGATTTATCCGCGTTCACACTATCTAGGGCCGGTTTTAAACCTTTGTGCATCCATCCGAGATAATATATACACCTATAGGACCGTATCTAAGGCTTTCACTACCTGAGGCAAAAGCTGAAATAGCTCGCCTTTCGTTTTTCATCACATCTTACTCAGTTTAATAAACATTTAGCAATTAACGCATTTGTTACGTTCCATGCAGCACAAACTTTGCAACATCGCTGCAATATTGTGCTATATGAGATAAAGAATTTACAAAAAAAAAAAATAGTAATACACAATAACTAAAAAATAATAATGTTACTCATCCAGTCAATTATTTAAATAACGTTAATCCTAATCTTTCTACCCTAAAGTGTCTACTTTTTTATTCGCCATCTGACGCCAACTCTGACGATCGTTTATCAGTGCCCTTTTGTACTTTTCTAGCAAGTACCAATCCAAACAGCACGCCGGCTTCTGTGTTCACCGACATGTACGGGAAGGGCAAGAACATATAGCGGGCGCGAGTGCGTGCCGGAAAGTGGGTCGACTGCCAGGGCGCGAGGAGAAACCCGAAGAGGTGGACGGGCGCCATCGAGGGAAGGAAAGTAAATTTCCGCTTCGATTGGCGTCTGCGACGAGTGAATTTCGTTGCCGAAAAGGAAGGTTGTATCCGGAGGGTTGTAGACATCCCCTATTCCGTGTCTCCCCTCCTCCCTCCTACCCTTCGCTCGCTCGCTCTCTCGCTCAGGAATTCCTCCCTCCTTCCGCGCCCCCGCGGCCGCGCCTTTCATAAGCTGTAATTCATAACCCCACGTTTGACCGCAGCGTCCCCCCCGTGTACGTTATTTATTCTGGGTGCAACTCGTATTTTTTTCGGCCGTTTTATCGGATATCTCTCGATTTATGTCCGCCGATCGCTCGGATCCTAAATACCGCGTGTGTGTCGCGCGGCTCCGCCGTGTCCACGAATTCATTGATATTCCGCGCAGAATCGTCGTCCGCGCCATTGCAATGTCGGCCTAATGAATTTAACCGTCGTGCCGGTGCTCTCCTACCGGTCGGAACCACTTTGGTTCTTTTTACCTCCCTCCTCTCTTCCTCCTCTCTTCCTCCTCCCTTCCTCATGCGCTTTTTTCCTCTCTTTCACTTCTTCCACCCTGCCTCGTTTTCTTTTCCTCACCTTCGCCACGAGACCCAGCACTTCTCCGATAGAGTACCAGCCGCATACCGTGTGAATTCTTAAATTTACAATCCGCCACGTAATTAAATCTGTCTCCTGGCCGCGGTATTCGACTTGAAATCTCTGGTAAAGAAAACGTTCGTCTGTAAATTCGTGCCAATAAAAAACCACGACTGGATAAGGACGTCGAGGATAAAAGCCCAACGTTTTATACGCAAAACTAAAAGTTATATATAATATTAAAGTTATATATATAAAAGTTATATATAATTTATGTTTATTTTAATAAATAAATTAGATGCTTGTACAACATAGTCTTTAATAAAAACTAATTTCTCGAAGAAAAATAATATGCAAATTACTCCTTTAATTAATCTATTTTTCATCTGGACAATAAGCAAAAAAGTATATTTCAGCATTATTCAATTATAATTATAAAATTATTAAATCCGAAGAAGCAGCGATTATTAATTTTTATAATTCGCTCGCAATAAATAGATCGCGACGTAAGCGTTACCGCGTTGGCTCGCGATTCGGCTTGTGATCAAACATGGAAGCCGACAATAAGCTTTTTAAAGGAAGACCCAGAGCAAAGCCTATTTATACGCGGAACGTTGCGGCGCGAACGAATCTGTCTCGATGTGAAAAAGAATTTCTCATTCAATAATATCTTGAAAATATAGCTGTCGGTGATTCCAATCTCGGGTGATTATCTCTCCGACGTTTAGTCGGAGACGGCACAATACCATCCGTTGTATGGAAGACGGGGGAAGGAAGGGGGCAAAGAGCAGGAACGTGCAGCCCAAATTTTTTTTTCAGGTCGTCCATATTTTTTTGCGCCTGCACTAAGGCAGGTGGAACTGGCGAAGCGTAACGGGGAATCCCCGGGTGCAGCCCTAATAGCGATTCAGTTTCCTCCGCCTCCCCCGACGAGAACGTCGACGAGAACGTTGTAATAGATTCTCGGCGTAGGTAGGTAGGTACATCACGCCTGGATGAAGCTTTTCGAAGCCGTCGCACCATACGAACGGGTTTTTAATTTCGGAGCCCCGGCTCGGGGGGGGGGGCGCGCGCGAATCCGAGCCCAGACCGACGAATAACCGGATATTAAATGTACACGTACGTCCGAATGGAAATGGACAAGTTCGATTTATCCCGATTAGATTAACATCCGAATGTCGGCGCGCGAATAAAAAAGTATACCTTGAAGCTATGCATCCCTCGGTTAAATCAGTCGGTCATTAGCATTCCAAGTTCTATCACAAAATTTATTATTTATTGCAACAAAATAATAAAAAAAATAACTATATATATATATATATATCTCGACTAGGTTAAAAAAATATCTGCTCTTGTTATCGGAATCTATTTTTACATATGGTCATTCATGGAGCTTTATATCAACGATTTCTCACCACTTGCCAAAGCTCATTCGCATCTCTGCGAAGACTACGAGAAGGGAGATCAGCGCGAAGACGTTCGCGCTAAGGCAGTAAATTTTCTACGAGCTACCACGATCTATCCATCCGTCGGGAGCTCTGTATTAACGATGTACCGCACGTTCGTTGATCGCCTGACCATTCGCGGTCGGCGATCGATGGTTTGGATTTCGGCCAGGATGACGCGGAGAGTGCCGGGAGAGCTCTCTTACGCGGTCATGGCTTTTCGGCGGCAGGCAGGCAGGCAGGCAGGCAGGCAGGCAGGCAGGATGGCAGAGATTGCCGGAGCGAAATTGAGGTCGTGCCACTGGCCGTAAACCTCTGAAACGCCGCCACCGGCCGCGCCATTCGGTCAATTATTCGCTTCGAATTACGGCCCTCCAATTGCGCGAGAGTTATAAGAGCAGCCTGGGCTGCTGCTACTCCCATCCCGATATATATATATACCGAGCACCGCGGCGAACTACACACGGTCGATTGGCAGCTCGTTTATGATAACGGCCGGACGACACCCGGCAGTCACGTTTCGATCCCGCCAATCCCGATCGCGAGAGAGATTTTCATGCCCTCCTTTCATCAACGCGGTGATATTATGGTATAGGGTATGAATCGTATTTACCGGCACGTCACTTGAAAATTTATCATCCTTGTCACATCTGTCGCTTCTTCGTTACATAATACGTAATTAATATATTTAATATATTTTCTTATATTTTCGCATATCAAAATATAACATGTTAATATCAATATTAATATAAACGAACGATATAAAAACACGATGGAGAAAATTTAATGATCATCAGCGTCCAACTTTTTCCCAGCCGCTGCTGTACCTGTTGCTCTCTCTCCTAATCACAATTTCCATCATCACTTTTAATGATATATGCTCGTTTAGGACGAATATAATTTTGTAGAATATTATAAAATTGTGACAATAAAAAAGGGATAAATAATCGTGTTAAAATTAGAGACAAATATTCATTGCAACATCCAAAGATATTCCGTCGTTATTTTGTCTTCCATCAAACGATTCTCACGAAACGTTTCAGCGAATCAGGGATGCACAAGCGTCAAACTTATACTATACGGTTAATTAATAGCACTTCAATTATCGATAATTACGATTCTACTTACTAATTAAACGCGTCGTGACATCACTTGATGCGGGCTTCATCCGTTCCGAATCTACTTCCCGTTACTGACTAAAAGATTCGAAAGTAACATTCGCGACTTCATCCTGATGTCGCGCGATAAATGCAGTTAATGAAGTTGAGTCAATGATGAATTCGAAAGCAATAAAAGTTTTTTTTATCGGATTTCAGTATTATATGCGCATCAGGTTCCGCGCACAATGAAGCAACAAGAATAAAAATTAGAAATAGAAATAAATATTAAATTTTTTTATATATAAATATATAAATTTTATTTCTTTTTAAATTAAACAAGATATAGCCATATTTTATGTTTATTTAAATCCATTTTGCGTTTAATCTCTGTTCCCAATTTTTATTTCCAAAATTTAATATTATTATTTAATTTAAAACTTAATATCGTTATTGTTATCTTATTTTAATATACGATTTCACCGTCGTGACTTTAAAAACTTGCGTTTTAAAATATATATTGAGTATCCTGTTACTCAAACTTGAAATTCATTTATACTAAAGTATTGATATATCATGGATTTCTCGGTTATTACTTCGTTCAGCTATGTTCGACAAAGTTATTCAACGCTTTCAACTCGGGGCAGACAAACAAATTACATTCGGTAAAAAATTCAAGAAAAAACGAAAATACATTTGACCCGTGATAAACGAGCGTCATTAACGAAACAATTATCGTATTCGTAGAATATACGAAATATAGGTAGCTCACAATTCGCGTGTATTTCGCAGCATATTCTTTGCTTCAATTCTTCAGATTAATTCTCGCGATCGGAAATGGATTCAAGCGAATTACCTGTCCGGATAAACCTGGCTACTTTCCGCCTCTATGATGCCTCGGCATGAGTCATTAATCGGGAAAATAATACATTATACTTACCTTATAATCGTTGATTACGTAGTTAACGCTGGAAATGATTGTATTTGAAGGGATGATAATAAGACGACACCGGCGGAACGGCAACTCGCCGCGCGAATGAGAATGTAACGATCACGCGAGTACACAATAGCACGCAATATAAACGCAAACATAAACAATGAGCCGAGCACGACACACTACATAGGCCACACTACAATAGGCCACACTACGAAATACGTACATAGTTAACATCAAAAAAAACGTTGAATATTCTCTGCGCATGTCCCGCGTATGTTTCAAACCGTCGAGATAAGATCGTGTATTATTTCGCGCTTTATTTTATAATAGTCATTAGCAACACTTAAGATAATTATTAATTCGCGTATTTCTCCATTTTCCTCTCGGGAACGAGCTTTGAATGCGTAATGGAAATATCAATGGAAATATCGTAATTTAATGTAACCGCGATTTAATTGCTGCACGTATGCATTGAAATTTTAACTCTATTATATACAGGCAGATTATTCAATTTTTCTTTTAATGAAAAATCGAATGGTTTTGAATCGCTTAAATTATGTTGTTAAATCGGACGTTATTTGGAAAATAAAATTTATTATTGTGTGTTCCGGTCGAAAAAATATTTATATAAATTATTATTTCTTTCAAATTTTCATGTTTCCAGAGAGAAGTGAAATTGATATTAATAAATTATGAAAATGAGATTAAATCATCGCAGGAGATGTAGCGACTCACAATTCCATTTATATACATATAGTAAATAAATTTTATTTCTCTCGAGATTTAAAGAATTGATTAAAAGTGAAATCATTATATATATATAAATTTGTATATTTTTCGTTAAAAAGAAAATAAAAAGAAATCATTTCTTGCTTAAATAAGTATCAAATATTTATTATTGTTGATATTGAATTCAAAGAAAAGATTACAATATCGTTATTTTATTAAAACGTGTATTATCTCTCTCTTTCGGGATTTATTTTCTAAGACGCATTCTCATAATCGAACAGAGTTTATCATTATCTTAGACGACGTTAACGAGTGTATGAAACACGCCGCCGCAACTTAACGCTCACTATCAAGATTAATTTGATATCCAAAATGTAAATGCGACATTCGAGTGATTCTCTTTGAATACCACTTCTTTCTGCAATTAAGATTTTTCTAATAAAGTAATTACAAAAAAAAAACTCCTTTATTTGTTCGACTCGCTATCATAAATACACGTCTCTTTATTCGAAATTAAAGAGGTATAAAGCTGATTGTAATCGCCAGGTTGAGTCTCGCTGCGCCGCGCGCGTGCGACTTTACTGCAACAATGTGTGGCTTATAACGATAATCTTGCATCTTGGATTCGTAGCGCGGATTGGGATACAGGATACGCGGTGATTGCGCGTGTATTCGTGTATCCACGCATGAACGCGTGGTGATGGCGCGATACACGCGATACATGCGCTCGTACCCTCCGCGGGAGACCTTGACAGGTCGGGGCCCCGGGTACAGCCGCGTAGTAGGGCGGCTCGCTCGTATATCTCGACCCACGCAGGAACATTCGTTAGTAAGCGATCTCTAAAATGGATACCTTAATGTGGCTTTCGCAAACATTATTACGGCCCCGCGACTCGGCTTTTCCCCAGCTCTCTCGCCCGCGCAAATAGAACTACTTTATTCGCGTCTTCTCGCGCGGCTGCGCCCCCCTCCCCCCCCCCCTCCTCCTTCCCTCTCGACCCCCATTTTTATCTTGGCTTCAAAGAAGATTCTGCGTCGCATTAACCGATATAAACCACGACGAATATGCTTGGGAATTGCCGCGCGTGGTGTCTCGGCGATTCAGCGACAAATCTAAACTGTTTCGCGCGGGGAGAATTTATGCAAACGCGCCGCGGTGACAGCCGCGGAGATTTGTGGACGTAATTAAAAAAAAAAAAATGGCGACTATTAATTCGCGTCAATTCTTTACCTTTAAATCATGAGATCGTCACGCCAATTTATCGTCGGTAAACTTCGTAATTATGATAGAGAGAGAGACATTTGAAACTCGTCTTCGTGTATTCTATTTTACTTACTGAGAGCTTTAAAAGTGTATGAACTATATCGATATCAGTTTGCTTTCAATTCCGCGATTCGATCCGTCATAACCGCTGACGGTTTAGAAAGTTTACAATAAGCAACAGTAACTTAGAGCGATGAGATGAAAAGCGATGCGTCAGTTGATTAAGTTGTAACATAATACGAAGATAAGCGATAAACCGAGAAAGGATTCATAGAGACGCGGGGAGAGATCCAAACGTCTGTATGTATAAACTTTATGAAGAGTTGACTTACGTATGCGGTATTTCGGTGCACTATCACGGCTCTCCCCGCCCATGATCGAGCCAATATTCTACAACGCCTAAGCGGGAGGAAACGGCGGGACGAGGGGCGGAATGCCAGTTGACTGAGCCGTAACAGAATGCAAACAGAATGCAAACAGAGATAATCTAGGAAAGAGAATCAAACGGGATGACGGGGGGAAGAGACTCTCCGCAGAAACGTGTACATGTAAAAAATTCGTAATTGTGACCGCCCTCCTACCGTGCAATCTGGAAACGTTCTTACATACGCTTCTGACGCATTATCGCGCATTATCTTGGACTCCCGAGATCGATCTACCGTGCTGCAACGTTTAAAGAGGAAGAAGCGACGGTCATAATGTGGAGCGTCGGAACGAGGAACGGCGCGGTCAGTTGACTGAGTTGTAACATAATGCAAACAGAGATAAGCCAACGGAGAAACTCGGCGGAAGGAGGAGGAGGAGAGAGAGAGAGAGAGAGAGAGAGAGAGGAGGGAGGGAGGAGGAGAGGAGCGAGAGGGGACGGAGGGTACGGGTAGCGTGGTACGACGTAGACGACGACCCGAACCGAAAAGTAAGTTAACGTTAACGTTGTACTCGGTAGGAACGGAAGACGGCCCGAACCCAAACTAAACTACGTTAAGGGTTTAGGGGGGACGGTCGTTCGGTACGGGAACTAACTTACCGTGTTACGTACGAACGCGACAAGATCCGCCCTCCTCCTACTCCTTCTTCCGTTTCCTCGTCGTACCTTACCTTTCCTCTTCCTTCCTTCCTCCTCTTCCTTCCTTCCTCTCTCTCTCTCTCTCCTCCTCCTCCTCTCTCTCTCTCTCTCTCTCTCTCTCTCATACTTCGGCTCCGGAGAACGCTTCGTTTCCTCCTTATTTCTCTCTTCCGTTCTCTCCCTACCTCTCGTCTACTCGTGTCACTTTCTCACTCGATACAGAAAGAGCGGGAAGATCAAAGGATGCCGGCGCCACCGCCGCTAATGATATGCGACCCGCCGCTGCCGAGCAACTTGGAAACTTGAGGACGCAAGATTCGGGTCTTCTTCCTCGAAACGAACCGCCGCGCCGCGGAAAGTTTCTCGAACTATTAAATAGCGACGAGCGAAAATGCTAACTATGTTGAGCGCAAGTTCTTATTGATATTTTCGAAACGAATTCATAATGTTTGAAAATTGAAGAACAGATACGCCGTACGCTTTTTACTCGCGATTCCGCGACTCCACCCACGCCTCCAATTCTGACCTACGGGAGATGTGTAAGACGGTACAAGTTCTCGCATACCCTTCAGTACAATTCGGCATTACGTTGCGCACCCTCGTTGCCGAGGGGTGCGGCAGAGTCCACCGTTTCAATCGCTTAGGTTCGTGCGAATTACCGCCTCCGGGCCTTTATGGCACATCAAAGGGATAGGGGACCGTGAAGGCGCGCCGTCTTAACGTATTCGAATCCCAAGGCATCTCTTTTTTTTCATCTTCTCGTAACTCTCCCTCTTTCGCTGTCGTTCGCCACCTTCACCCTTCGCGCCGTGGAAAAGCGGCTCGTTGCTCCTCAAACAGGCATATGGAAGGTGTTTGACGCGCTGGCAATTCGAGGAGAGAATCGCGGGGCGATTGATCCCTAAAAGCCTCAAGGATAAACTCGCGCGTTTTCTTTTTTTTGCTCGGGAAAAGAAATATCTCGCGCGTGCACGAAATAAAGCGTTTATTCAACCGGAGATGCGCTATATTGACGTGAAATTTTTCTCTCAACTCTCCATATGTGCCGATTGTTTACTCACCTTCCGTCAACGTCTTGATTTACTAGAGATTTAATTTTAACATACACATCATCAGTGCAGATGGACACGATATAAAAATATTGGTAATAATCGAAGTGACATAATCTAATTTTCCAAAATTTTTTTACATAAAAAATTTCAGTAACAATAAATTCTTACAGAATACCTTCAGGTATTAAAAGCACTTTCAATATATTTTTTTTACGCAATAATAGCTTGCTTTGATTACGCACTCGATTAATTATGTGAATCCCTTCGCTTCTTGTTTCAGGTGGCAATTAAGATAATAGACATCGAACAAGGCAAGAAGGACTACGTGATGAAGAACCTGACGAGGGAAGCGAAGGTCTTGTCAATGCTGCAGCATCCGAGCATCGTGAGGCTCTACGAAACTATTCGAGTGAGTGAGAAACGCTTTAGAGTTACAGTCAGTTTAGAGAATTTCGACGATTGATCGAATCTCTTTATTCTAATTAACCGCGTCGAAAGTTTAATCGAGTTCTTAATAACAAAGACGATCTACCACGGTCCATCAACAAGATTCGGTTGTGTCCATTGTACTTTTGTCTAACGATCTATTCATTATCTGTCAAAAGGAAACTGTGCCATTCCGTCTCACATCATCCCTCTCCTAGTGACAGGCACTATCCCTCGTAGATTCTACTCATTCTTGGTCACGCCACTCTCACCCGGTACATGACGTTCGTCAGAATGCCGTGACAAATCGCGAATGTCTTGAGTTTTCAACGATGCTAGATACTAGTTAATACTATCCGAGAGAGAGAGAGAGAGAGAGAGAGAGAGAGAGATGATTCATCTTTCTGGATTTAATTAAACACACCATTTAGCTGAATTTATGAAGCAGCAGAATACATATTAAAGTAGAAGAGCTTTTCACCCCTTTAATCATTTTACCTCGCGAGAAACTTGGGGTTCGAAAATAATTATTTCGCTCTCAATTTTCAAATCTATCTAGTTTTACGAATAATATAGATGGAAACCTGTCAAATAGAATTATTCGATAGGTTTCAGGTTTTTATAGACGCGTCGTTTGCCCGTCGCGAAATAAACGCGTGTTTTCACGTCTAGAAGCATCGGGAATTGATTTCGCCGGAATTAAATCGATTCCAATCCGCGAGTGTAAACTCGGAAATTATTATTTTGAGTTGCAAGCCTTTCTGCGCCGATACCAGAGGAGGCCTGGACCGGTACCATTAATGCGTTGCATCGTACGTGACCCGGCTGCTACGGACGCGAACGTTGACCCAACACGCGGACTCGCGGGTGCACGTGCACACGCATACGCACGCACGCGTACGCACGCACGCACACGCGCGCGCGCACGAAGGTATACGCCGGCGAACACGAGCGAGAGGAGGAAAGAAAAAAAACCCGGAGAGAGAGAGAGAGAGAGAGAGAGAGAGAGAGAGAGAGAGAGAGAGAGAGAGAGAGAGGAGAGAGAGAGAGAGAGAGAGAGAGAGAGAGAGAGAGGAGAGGAGGAGAGTACGGAGAGAGAGAGAGAGTAGAGTAGAGTAGAGAGAGAGAGAGAGAGAGAGAGAGAGAGAGAGAGAGAGAGAGAGAGAGGGAGAGAGAGAGAGAGAGGACTCTCGTATGCTTGTACGACGTAATTGAATTCATGTGTGGGACGTCGATATCAGAGGCTCTCCCGGGCGGCGCAGCATCGCGCACCTCGTTTACTCTGAAAATTTTGTTAGTCCGCGCGCTCGCTCGTCACGATCGAGTTACGAGGACGAGGGTATGTACGCGCCGGGAAAGATAAAGTACGTAGGAAAATATGACGGGAACGCACACGCGGCTGCGATAGCCCTCTCTTGTCCCCCCCCCCCCGGTCGCGTGCGAGATTCGAGAATTTCGAGGAGCCCTACGAAATATTTCCCGCGCGAGATGAACGGTCGGCTGGTCGTCGGGCCCGACCGATGTCCGACCGGGAGAGAAACGTGTAAAATTTTTCAAGCCGGTTACATACCGCCAGAATCATTCTCTGCATACGGTAACACGTCACATCTTTCTTTCAAAAGCGACACAACCGGGAAATTGTAATTTACGAGTAGTTATACGAATTTATCATGGTCAAATTTGCATTCTTAATGCGCGAAATTATTTCTTAAATCATCTCGCGTCAAATTAATTCAGATAAATTATTCTATGGAGTTGTATCAAATTGATCTATCCAATTGTACTTTTTTTTTTGTATCCGTAAAATCGTTTTCCGAGAATAGACACTTTTAGACGCGTTTTGCAACGGAATAACATGTAAAAAAAACATACTCGAATACTACGAAAGAGTGCAAGCATATTCGCTAGAAGAACGATCGTTTCCCGCGAGCTTTCATAAATCGACAAACGAGTTTCGCGATTGCATCGTTCGATTCTTCTGTCTCGACGGAAATGATTTTATAGTCTGCGGATGATATTACTTTCCGCGCGTTTATAAAACGCGATAGAGGAGTGCGTCTTGTTTTATTTAAGCTATTCCATCGAGGGGGAAAAGCTATCGGCGATGAGAATGCTCGCACCTGACGGCAAATATGATAATATCGAGACGAGATACCCCGCCTCCTCTTTCTTGCCGTCGCCAAATTGGCTATATATGACATCGCCCTATATCTCATTTCCACCTCGTAATCTTTACGACGGCAGGGGCTCGCCTAGGGTGCCGACATCTACGCGATTTTGACTGTCGATTTTGCTAGATTCTTGGGAGCATCTGCGCCTGCATGCAGGTCGTAAAATATAGTCGTTTTCCAGACAAGTCACCTCTCTTAAGGTCGCTTACCAGTGACTGCGCGACGACAGCAGCTTGTCTTGAAACGATGATAGCACGCGATCGACGATACCGTCAGGACTCATTAAATATGCAAATGCCTCTCTTTCCTGTATTAAGTATTGATAGGGAATTTTGACGTCACTGACAATCAAATGCGCGCGAACGCACCGCCACAATTGAATATTTCTGAATATTTTTATATTTATGAACAATTCGTTTCAATAGAATATGAAGTGTGTTTAATATTAAAAATGCGCCATGAGATTAACGTTATAAAATTAATTATTTTATATACATATGCATGAACTTTATGTGTGTATATATATTAAAAACGTAGGAGTTATAGTTTGAATATATATGATATACGTAAAACGCAGTGATAAAAAATGACAGTTTATCGTAAATTCATGATAGGATATAACGGAGCAGCACAACAAAATTTCATATTCCGCGAGGACAATGGATCGGTGGCCATTTGTTGTGTCGTAAAGTTGCTGTTATTGCAATGCGCCAATGTAAACCTTCCATACTTTCCAATATTCAACATTTTAGGCAAAACCATAGCATTTATGGATTATCGATATTTTCCTGCCTAGTCACTAGATATTTATTTTATTATCCACCACATACGCACGCACAACAATTTAAGATTACCGTCCATAAAGTTTCATAGAAAAACAGCTTATTTTTATTTATTTTATATTGTATTTAATCAAACATCACTTTATAGTATTATTAATATCTTTATAATGTCCTGCTTAATAATTCGAAAAAGTCCTACCTAAATATCTTACAGTCTCAAAACAGATAATCTTATAGTCAGCAACAGAGTTGCTAACTATAACTTTATTCGAGAATATATCTTTATGTCAGTTGCTTATTCGTACATGTTCGTGACGTCATTTTGAGCCGCTCCGTGCATAATAAGAAAGCGCGCACGCGTGCCTGTCGATTTTTACGAAGATGCATGTCCGGCGGTCAGCGCGTTACTCATGCTCAGGTTATTGGAGAAAAGTCGTTTTAAGCGCCAATTAAGGTCATTATTGTCGGCCTACGGCGGCCATAAACGCGCCGCTCGCGCGATTTTATGTCGGTACCGATGTTACGAGTCGACGAATCACATAGGACTTGGCCATTATTGGCGTCCAATGACGCCGACGTCCCCCTGCTCGGGGGATGAAATCACTATAAAAATGAACGCGTCGACAACCGCATTTGCAGCGGATTATTACAACGAATTGGAAGGAATCACATCATGGAACTATGATGTCATCTTGGCTAACGATGCAGAGATTCGTTGAGAAAACTTTAAACAAAATTGTTTCCTCGTCTCGTCGCAAAATAAAATAGATTCTTCGAATGTATATGATCGGAAAAAAACGTGAACATATTAAGAAAATGATATATTACATAAAAAATTCAGGATTTGCCGACAGAATTCGCATCAATCGTTGTAGGCGACTTTCGGGGAAAGACGAAGATTTAAACGACTGAATGGAAGCGATCCAAAGATCGCAAGAATCGCAGGATACGTTAAAATCGCGGTAAGGAAAAGTCTGCTTTAAATTCCGCTCGGGAGTAGGATCTTATAACTAATGCACACCTTTTTGGCACAGGTTACGAAAGCCCGTGCCATACGCTTCCTGTTTCGCTCGGAGAAATGACTTCCACGTTCGATTCTTTCCCCCGTCTCCAGCATTTCTGCCGTTGCCGTGCCCTTTCTTCGTTTACATACGCCGAATCCTACGTTCCTGTTTTACTCTTACCCGATGATATATCGAAATCGCGTATCTCACGTTCCACCCTGAAACCCCGGTTGATTCGGTTGGCAAGCGCCGGGCGTATCAACGAGTTCCCGTCAAAAACGAAACGGCGATTCTTGCCAAGAGAGATAGAGCGGCGGCGCGAGTCTCTGGCGAATTGACTTCGCAAGTGATCTCTGATCTTTCAGAAATTCTCGTTTAGTTTCTATTGGCTGAGTTCCTCTCCGTCCACCTTTTCGTCACGCCGAACAGACTAATGTAGAGTGAAATTCAAATCAGACGAAATGATATTTTTCGGGAAGCTTGTTTCGTAAACCAACTATCCTGACAAATTTTTTATCCGTTAAATAAACTGTTCATAGAAATTTCATGTTTCAAGAAATATTCCGAAATCTCACCTAAGCGTTTTTATTAAACCTTTATTATAAAACTTGGCGTGCTAATATTTTTTTGCCATTTTAACAAAAGAAAAGTATATTCGACACATGTAAAAATTATTGCAAGCTCACTGCAAAGCTTAAGTGAATAATATAATATTTTTGGAACTTGGAAATAGGGATAGTGATCGAAAAGATAAATCTCATTCCGGTCGATCTCGTGCCTGACGTTCAGGCACGAGATCAGCCTCTAGTACGCACGCGCGTTATTTATTCGTCTCTCGTGATCCACGCGATTCATAATTAAAGCAGTCAGACCGCGCCGAAGGATTAAATAATCATCGGCGCCCGAGATATATCGACTCGCCATTGGCCGGGCACGATGAATCGTTTCGAATCGTAATTCGTCGGCCACGCGTGGACGCGCGCTCCCTCGACGTCGCCGCATGCATATCGCTGCATTAAGGTAATCACTTAATCGACGAGGCCCACGCACGTGTCTCACGACGCGCGCGCGAAATTCGGGAAACACTTTCTCGATAATTACGATGCGCCTCTACCTCGCGGTGCATTTTAAATGCGCGTGATCAATTTCGCGCGACCGGTCCCAGACTCGGTCGGCCAGCTCGTCGCTTGTTGCTCCGTTTTCACGAACGGCGACTGAAATGTATGGCCGGTGCTCCGACACACCGAGCCGCACGAAACAAAAAGATGCGAGAAGATTGTACGGTGTGTTGACGTTATTTAATAAATTTGAAGCGCATCATCATGAATCATCCTCTATAAATCGTAAATTTCCTCTCTTCACGAACAATTTGCTTCTGGATTATAATTATGAATTTTAATTTCATCCCACTTAAATACTCTCGAAATCGAGGGAATGCCATCGTGCGAATGCAATAATGTGATTAAATACAATTATAATGCATATAATTTTTTTAAATCGTTTTAAAATTTTGACATTCTTTTGCTGTAATATCAATAAATTTAGATTTCTGATAAGATATATCTCTAAGATTTCTCCTCTCTGCAGCATTGAATTTTGAGCATATCAAAATTGCATAGATTTTAGAATCTCAGTATTTTCAGCGACAACACCGCTAGAATGCCCGAAGCGAAAAGAAAGCCCAAAGATCGCGGGGTCTTCCGGTGTTGTTGCATCTTCGATACACTCCGCGCTATCGACGCGAATCGATAACGGTTTAATTTAACGCCTCCTTGCAGTGTGGATCCGTGTACTATCTCGTGACGGAACTCGCGACCGGCGGTGACCTGTGCACGCACATTAAGGAGCAGCCGGCCGGTAAACTGGACGAGAACACGGCGAGGCTCTATGCCAGACAGCTGGTCGCCGCGCTCAAGCACATGCACTCGAAAGGAGTCGTTCACCGGTGAGTCACCCGCGCTTTAGCCGCGTTGTGCGCAAATTTTCAGGTGGTCTTTCGTAGCAACTCGCGACTGGGAAACTTTTTCAACTTCCCTTATTACGCCCTATTACGAACAATTAACGAAACGCTATATTTTCTCTCATAAAATCAGACCTAAAATTATATTAAAAGCGAAATTACATAAATAAATTCCAAATAAATAATTTGAGAATCTCAAGATAGACGGGGGGAATAGAGGAGGATAGGGGAAATGGCGTGCGATCGGAATTTATGGCCGAGAGGAACTCCGTTAATTCGATCGGAAAGAGTTAAATGAGAGGAAATGAAGATGCATTATAAAAGAAGGACTCCGATTCGCTGTTAACATACGATGTTCGTCGACAGTCATGTTTCTGCGGACGGTATAAATTGCACTCGAGGTGCAACAATCTTACGGGGATCTGCCGGGCGCGATCGTTTACTCGCCATCGTTTTCTCCTCCACGGTCTAATAATATTCAACCGCACGATGTGTCGTGTCTCTTTTTTTTTTTTCCTAGCTGACCGCGGTGATGTACGACGTTGGCCGGCCGTATCGTTTAAATAAAGAAATCGTCCGGCGTATTACACACGAGGGAACGCTTGCGATCCCGCGACCCTGGAGATCCGGCCCGTCTCGTGCGATCGCCCCGTGTCGATAACGATGCGTGTTCCTGTTTATTACGAGCGGAATTACACTCGCGAGGATCCCCGCTCGCGCACTTCCCCGACCGGGAATGCATCTCGTCGGTCCGGCCGACGATTAAAAGTGGCTTCCTGAATTAATTGACCGGCAAAACGGGCAGGCTCCTCGCGTACTAATTTCATTAAACGTTTAAACTTATCGCGGCGCAAACGATACCCATTTATATCACGTATCCGAAGATTATCTGGAGAGCACTTGAGGGGAAGTATCGCTTCGGGGCTCTCGGTGCTTCAATATAAAAGGTTAGTGCCGGAGATCTAAATTTGAGACACAAGATATCATTTTCCGTCCCTATTTTTCACCGCATATTATATTTTCATATCACCCCCGCGTCAGCATATTGCGCACGTACGAGCGAGACTGCTAAATCGAAGTCGCGTAGATCATTTTTTACGACGAATCCCTTCGCGCGCAACGGTATACAGGGTGTCTCTGTACCATCGTATTTCCATCCAATCATCGAGATTAAGCGTTAAATCGATAAGGAAGATCGTTGCCTCGACGTCGAAGCGTCATCAATCTTGAAAGTAATTTCAAGCTACACGTAAACTACTGTATCTGCGAAATCTGCGAATGTCTGAGGAAATATATTTAATGTTTTCGTACACCTTGTATATCTCGCAAGCATTAACGTGCCCGACGCGGAATGACGCGTGTCGCAATATTTCGTCGATGTCGTATGCATCATTCGGAAAAGGGGGACCGCGTAATTTTCAACGCGTTCGCGCGAGAGAAAAGGCATAATGACGCACGCACGTGACGCATTACGACGTGAAGTAGCAGTTCGCTTTTCGTTTCACTCACGAAGGATCGGCGAATATAAAGCAGCCGGCAATATGGCGTACGACGCGGCAGTTTGTTTTCGTCGAAAGCGCAAAGTCTCAATCTCGGATGATGGTGATAGATCGTCGCTCTCACGGACTCGCACGTTACGGGCAAGGGGGGCGGCGGGGAGAGACGGAAACGGTGTCGGACTGCGAGGGATCTCGCAAGGAGGGTTAGGAAAATCGCTATAAGCGATCGCTTAACCCCTCGAGAGATTAGCCCGTTTCGTCGTTCGCGAGGGTGGCGAGGGGGAAGGGAGAGGCATTGCTTCTCGCTAATGGGAATGGAGAAGATTTGGTGCTAAGGATAGTTAACGATCGTTGCCCGCGGATTCGTTTCTTTTTGCCGCGCTGTGTATCCTTAGATTAAGACAAACGAAGCCAAAAGCTGCTTCAACTTATTTCTGACACGGAACGTTTCAGCTATTCTTCCAGCGCGTCCCGCCGTTATCTTTATGATGTAGTTGCTTGTCCTTTCGGAATTATCTTGGATGAATTATATAACTGTTTATGACTAATGATGGCCGATATTCCTGACTGAAACTCCCCTCAATTGTTTATCGAACTGTAAACAATTCACTACAGATCCCGATACACATTGCGTTAAGATTAAAGATGTTTACGTAGGACGCGTTCCTATTTTTACAAGAGAGACAAATCGAGAAAGATTGATAAGTAACAACGAGCGCAGCATTTTCGGCAGCGTTAATCTTTAACTTAGAAGAATTAAGTCTGTCCGTTCGGCACTTCTTTTTCACTCGATATTGTCGTATATCGTCGCATGCGGCTTCAAGAGATTCTGCGCGGATTTTCCCGGCGAGGGATAGCTGTTAAGACCGTAGGGCGGAAGGAGGAAAGAGGAATCCTTTATACAGCAGCCCTCTTCGCTCGGGACCACCGAACATCCGCAGGCTCACGTTTTAATTCCGACGAACGCCTCCCGCTTTGCTCCGCCATTATTCGCCGGACAAAGCCATGATCCTCGAGCCGCGAGGGCACGGACTTCTTGCGGGATCCTCGAAAGCGGGAGCAGGATTACGATTCCCGTACTATGCGAGCTATTCTGCCGGGAAAAAGGAGAGAGAGAGAGAGAGAGAGAGAGAGAGGAGGAGGAGAGAGAGAGAGAGGAGAGAGAGAGACATAAAAGGACAGACAATCCCCCCGATACATCCGACGAAAGCTGCCTCGTGTTTATTGACGCTTTTACTTACGGGAAAACCAGCCTCGACAAGTAGTAAGAGTAAACGGTAAAGTTGTAAATCGAATATTATCGTATTGCACGCCGACAATATCCGACAGAAACCGATAATAATCGTTCTACGTATTCGTCTAATTTCTATCTTAACTAATTACAATTCTACTTCGTTGCAATTTCTTGCCCGATTATTTCTTCCTGTAAGAAAAGGCTATATTGATCTGGACTTTTCTAATCGATTTGCTCTTAATTTTTCAGCAACGTATATTCAAATCTGAGTAGCTATCGAAAAAGAAAATACAACGACATAACTAAACCAATAACATTTCCCATATTTTCACAAAAGAGTATCGTGGGAACGAAATTGAAAATGAATCTCTGCCTATCTATATATCTCCGCGTATGGATGCGAGATATGAAAAGAACGTTCCACGCGAACTTATTTATGAAAAGTATATTCACCGTTCTTGGAACCGTTCTTGGAGAACGGAACTTGGAATGCTACCGTACAATGGTGTCAGATCGAAGTTTATCGGTGGAAAAAAAAAATCAGGCGTGTAGGCGGCGCATATTCAACAGAAACGAATACCGTTATAAACTAGGATGATTTTGCAGTTTCCCATCCTCTCTCCCTTTCCTTCTCTCTCCTCTCTCTCTCTCTCTCTCTCTCTCTCTCTCTCTCTCTCTCTCTCTCTCTCCATTTATTTCTCCGCTCACTTCGCATCACGTGCGAGACGAACGGGAGAGGAAAAGGCGGAAAAGCATCTCGGAAAGTATCAACGACTGGGGCGGTAGAAACGTTAATGGACACAGGCACTCGGTTATCCGCCTAAGTATAGTACTTACGATACGCCTTGTATATCCTTCGGCCCGTTATACGCGTAGTTTCGCCTAGTCCAGAGCGCTTCCGCCGGCTGGCTAATCGAGTCTATGGCTGGCTAATTGGCTCCGTTCGCCGCCGGTGACCTTGATCTCTCGCGGCTCGTTTTATTCTGCCATTTCTATTCCGCCGGCGTGCCATCTCGTCGTCGCCCGGATCGTCGCGTCGATTCTCGTCTCACCCGCGCACGGAGAGCACAATTGCCTCGCCTCGGGAAAGTTTTTCGTAGGGATGACGACGTTGGCCGAGAGATGGTTAGCGGATAGCGCGTTCTCGCGCATGATAATTGAGATCTGAAGGATCGCGCGATGTACAGGATAAAACACGGGAAATGTGATTGATATTGATTATACTTCGCATAATTGAGCCAGTCATTCTTTCAGTGCTAAATAACTTAAAATCAGATTTTTAATAAATTAATATTAATACTATACATAAATATTGTAAAAAAAAAATCAATTTTTTCATATTTATAATCAGTCTTTATTTTTTTTTTATAAGATTTTCTATGTAATTATATTATTCTTGTTGTGATTAAAAGTCTAATAAAATATTATTGCATACTCCGACTCTCGATTTCTGCGGAGCTCTTTCGAATCTTGCAGATGGAAAGTTATCTGTGCACCGCAGCGCGACAAAAGACGACAACACATGTAATAATGTCGGATCGATCACCGAGATCGATCGGCGTGACGAAACGGCCGATCGGCCGGTCGGTTGATCGCAAAAGTGCAACGATGCCCGCGGGTCTCACGACGCGGCGGTGTATTCCACGAACTTTAGCATTTGTGCTAACCGCGAGCGGGTCTGTTCGATAATCCGCATTAACATGGGAATAGGAGTGTATTTCGAGGCCGGTGCTGAGCCTCAATAATACGTATTGCCTATTACGTGGAAACGATACCGTTCAATATCTCGCTCTCTGCACACACCTCGGACACGTCCGCTCGTTGCGACAGCTCTCCTCCAGTTCTTATACCGAACAATTTCAACTTGAGGTCGCGGCGAAACTGAATCGGCGGTTAAACCGGTTTCATACGGCAATAGCCGACTACTACTCTGGTCGTGACATATTTTAAACGAATATAATCGTATTAGCTTTGAAATGTTTTAAAAGGGGCGAGCGATGCATTACAAATTATTAATTGTACAATGATTACTGTCACATTATCTATTAATAATAATCAATTATTTGATTTGACAATATTTTCAAGTATAATATACTTTTTACGTAAAATTGACAGAATTTAGAAAGGAGAATTTTGGATATTCCAAAAAATGTTATATGGAAAGAATCACTGATCTAACTTTTGTAAATGACTTATGGTACGTCGGTTTATGACCCGTGTGAAATCGGCTTTATCCCGCGGTTATAGTTAGA